TAATTGTTGTTGTTCTGGTACCTGTTGTTGCTGTTATTGGTTGCCATTAAGTCAGCTCTGACCCATGGCACCCTTAGCTACAAGAGAACTAAATGTTACCCAGTTCTGCATCATCTTCAAGTCCATTCTTTTGGTGAATGTTTATATGTTAGTATCCAGAGCTATGTGCAAAGACAGCTTCACTCTAGAAGGTGCCTCTCACCCCTTCCCAGACAAGCCCTTTTCTCTGACGTCTATCACTTTGACTAGGTTTGCCTGTTCGTGACTTTCACACCAGCATGTGTCCTTGTGTGTCTGGCTTCTTTTATGCTACATAGCATTAAAAAAAATGTTTTTTCTATTTTATTTAATTCTGCTCTAACCTTTATTATTTCTTTTCTACTGGTGACTGTATGCTTTCTTCCTTGCTTTTTGCTAACTGTTGAAGCTGTTTGGCTAAGTTGTCGATTTATGTTCTTTCTTCTTTTTGGTTGTGGGCATTTATTGCTATAAATTGCCTTCTGGGCACTGGTTTTCCTGTGTCTCAAAAGTTTTGGTGGGTTGTATTTTCATTATCATTTGACTCAAGGAATATTTTTATTTCATTTTTTATGTGATAGATTACCTGGTAGCTTTTAAGTAGGATGTTGTTCAATTTTCATGGTTTTGATCCCCCCACCTTTATCTTCCTATGGTTGATTTCGATTTTATAGCATTGTATTCTGAAAAGATGCTTTATAGTAATATTTTTTAAAGTTTTTATTGTGAATTGAATGATAGTTTACATGGGAGAACACTAGCTTTACAGTCATCCTATCATACATCATTTCATTGCAATGATTACAATTCCCTCCATGCATCATCACTCAACAGCATTTGCTTCCATTCCCTCCTTTCTTCTTCTTCTTCTTTTTTTTTTAGATGTACACTGAAGCACTCAGGAATATATAACCATTCAAACAACCAAAGGGTACACCCTGCAAGCCTGCCCCGTGGCCACCAGCACACAGCCCCTCTCCTTCCTTGAGTCCAGAGTCCCCAGCCGCTCATGTCTCCATGTCATCATCTCTGCCTCCATCTCTGGCATCATTGCTTCTCTGGGTAGGGTCCCACCTCTGCTCCTGGATTTCAAGATCAGCCACTCCCCTCCTTTTGTTACAAAACGTCTACCTTTACATTTGCAACATTCACAATCAGTCCTGATAGCAATTATTCACTATTGAACCACAAGAGTCTTATCCCCATCTCCTTTCACCAGCCCCATCCAGGCAGGTTGAAAACCACTCAGTGGAGATTCTACCTTCCCCTGCACCCTCTGCAACTAGGCTCCTTCTTAAAAACTTGTAAGCCAGTCACTTCATGCCTTTGTAGCCCCCACACCCCATTTTGGGTAGCCAGTGTCTACGTTGCCCATCCCTGTCAACCCTGTGTACTGAGGAGATGGGAATGAAACTCACTGTAAAGATTTGTTCCGTCTTTTGAGCTACTAGCTACATAGCATTTTTTGAAACCATGTTATTTTTATGCATCCCTTGCTTGTTTTGGAATTACATGAATATACCACCATTTACCTGTCCATTTTCTGTTGGTAGGTCTGTGAGTTGTTTCTAGTTTTTGGTTATCATGAACCAAGTCGCTATGAATTACTATGAACATTCTTGTACTTGTGTGTGTATATATTTTTCTTTTTCTTGGGTAAATACCAACTGGACTATAGGGTTAGTATATGTTTTGTTGTTCTTAGGTGCCATTCTAATAACAACTATACTAGGTTCATTGTCCTGGATGGGGCCAGGAGGGGCAAGGGAGTGTAGCTATGCCCACTGAGAAAAGATTCTCTGACTGGCTATGCCCATGGGAGAGGAGGACACACTATGACTTCTTCATTGGATGGTACCAACTCTAGTGGTTTCTGTTGGCAGCCCCACATGTGCAGAGTAGAACTGCTCCATAGGGTGTTCAAGGTTGAGATCTTTCATAACACATCACCAGGCCTATCTTCCAAGATACCTGTAGGTGGATTTGAACAACGAACCTTTTGGCTAGCAGTCAATCACAACCATTTACAACACCCAGACACTCCTGAATGTGGAATCAAGCTCCAATTATTTAATTTCTTTTAAGGCACCCTCGTGGCACAGTGGCTAAAGACTCAGTGGTAACTGAAAGGTCAAGGGTTCTAACCCACCTGCAGCTCTGCTTCCATAAAAAAAATCATGCTCTTTTTCAATTTTCTTTGAGGTTGGGGAACAAAAAGAAGTTTGAAGGGGTAAGATTAGGATTGTAGGGTGGATGGGGTAAGGTTTCCCAACAAAATCCTTGTAGGACAGTCCTTGCTATTTCTAAGGAATGAGTGGGTGCATTGCCGGGATAGAAAATTCCTCAGAGCAAGTTTCCTGGCCTTTTGTCACTGATCCAGCATTCAAGTTTCCTAAAAGTTCTTCCTATTAAGCCCCTGTGTTCATCCTGCACCCCTCGAGGAGTCTACCAAGATTGTTCCTTTGGAATCTCAAAACAATAGTCTCCATAACCATCTGAGCTGACCCCTCCTCCTTGAATTTAACTGGTGCAGCCGATCCCCTTGAAGACACTGTTTTGAATCAAAACTTGTTTTTGGAGGCTCCCTAATTAGACTATTGCTGTTGTTGTTAATTACAATTGTTAGAAATGAATCCTGATGTCACACAAAAAGACACTTGGTGAGACTAAATTACCTTGCAAGGCAAAATTTACTCCTGCAGAAGGGTGCATGTAGCTATACAGGAACAGGCCAGCGGGCACACTGAGTGGGCAGTCCACTTGAGTTTTTATCTCTGACACAAGACTTAAGGCTGTGTCTCACCCCATTGGCTAGGGCTTTGGCCGCATAGTCTTTTCCCTTACCTGGTTGGCTAATTCAAATTTCTAAGCTGCACATTCTTCTTACTCACTTCAGCAAGTAGTAGAAAAATAAAAGAAAGGTCATAGATTCCCTACTCACTTCAGGAGGTAGCAAAAGGTAAAAGAAAGATCATAAAGTCCCTATTCACTTCTGGAAGAAAAAAAAGGAAAAAGAAAGGTCAGCTGAATACAATAAACAGTATCATAATAATTTTGAAGAAAAGATACTCATTCCCACACCATCAAGCGGTTCCAACTCACAGCGATTTTGTATAGGGTTTAAAAGGAATAGGTGGTGGGTTAGAACTGCAGTCCAGTGCATATCCTAGAGATTCACACCAAGATTCCAATGAGACTAAGATAAGTGTATCGCTGAGAGAACTTGTCTGCAGCCATCCAAAGATGTAGTTGTTGTTGTTGTTAAGTGCTGTGGAGTTGGTTCCGACTCATAGTGACCCTGTACAGGATTTCCGAGGCTGTAAATCTTTACGGGAGCAGAAAGCCTCATCTTTCTCCCGCGGAGCCGCTGGTAGTTTCGAACTGCTGACCTTAAGGTCCGCAGCCCGATTCGTAACCACTACGCTACCAGAGCTCCTTATAGAGACATGTTTAAACATGTTTTGTTTGGAATAAACCCATGCATGTGTGGGTTGCAACACTTTTTCACTTACCTTGTATATTGTTGTTGTTAAGTGCTGTGGAGTCGATTCCAACCCATAGCAACCCTGTATAGGGTTTTCAAGGAGCAGCTGGTGAGCTTTAACTGCTGACCTTGCAGTTCAAATGGCTTTTCAGTCTAGTGCATTAACCCACAACACCACACCAGGAGTCCCACCTTGTATGTAGTTACATAAAGATCAATATGAAAACAAAAATCGAGAAACCAGGCCAGGAAAGCACCAGGAAGCTCCCCCCTCCCCTGAATTCTCTGTCTGCAGGAGACCTCCACCCTCACATCAGTCCAGACAACTTTGTACAAATTTTTAAAACATGCTTGTTGAAGACACCATATCTTCTGTTTTATGTAAATATATGAAAATTTCATGCAATGACATCTCATAATATATCTGAATTTAATTTAATTCACCATGTTATATTCCCTTAAAAGGTAACTCGCATCTATTCAAATAAACGCTGGCATGCATTCCATTTTGCATAATTTTAATCCAATTCTAGGATGTCATTCTGGAGTTTCCTTCACATTCTTCTCTTCCCCACACCCCACTCCAAAACAGCAGTATGTGTGCACATGTGTAAGGACATAGCAGGAAGTCTGGGGGAGAGGAGAGGAAATACAGTGATAATAATAATACTGTTGTTGTAAGGTGCTATCCAGTTGGCTCTGACTCATAGTGACTCTTACAAGTACAACAGAGCAAAGCACTGCCCAGTCCAGCGTCCTTCTCTCCATCATGACTATGTTTGAGCCCATTGCTGCCACCACTGTGCCAATCCATCTCATTGGGAGTCTTCCTCTTTTCCACTACACCTCTACTTGACCAGGAGTCCTGGTGTGGTGCTGTAGGATAAGCACTGGACTGCTAACCTCAAGATTGGCAGTTCAAGCCCACCAGCTGCTCCTCAGAAACCCTATACAAGGTCACTATGAAATGAAGCTGGCTTGACGACACTTACAATAACATCTACTATTTTACTATACATGGTGTCCTTCTCCAGGACTGGCCCCTCCTGATAACATGACCAAAGTATGTTAGATGAAATCTGACTATGCTCACTTCTAAGGAGCATTCTGGCTGTACTTCTTTCAAGACAGATTTGTCCTTTCTTCTGGCAGCCTGTGGTATAGTTAATAATCTTAGCCACCATCACAATTCAGAGACATCCATTCTGCTTCTTTGATCTTCCTTAATCATTGTCCAGCTTTTGCAAATATGTGAAGTGATTTGAAAGGCAAAAATCCTCACCACTGGACCAATAAACAACATTCTTATCAATGGGGAAAAGATTGAAGTTGTCAAGGACTTCATTCTTCTTGGATCAACTATCAACACTCGCGGAAGTAGCAGTCAAGAGATCAGACGACGTATTGCACTGGGCAAATCTGCTGCACAGGAACTTTTTAAAGTGTTGAAGAGCAGAGATGTCAGCTTGAGGACTAGAGTGCGCCTGACCCAGGCCATGGTATTTTCAATAACCTCATATGGATGTGAAAGCTGGACAGTGAATAAGGAAGATCATAGAAGAATTGATGCCTTTGAGTTGTGGTGTTGGAGGAGAATACTGAAAGTGCCATGGACTGCCAAAAGAACCAATAGATCTGTTTTGGAAGAAGTGCAGCCAGAGTGCTCCTTGGAGGCCAGGATGGCTAAGCTTCGTCTCTCCTACTTTGGACATATTGTCCGGAGGGAACAGTCGCTGGAAAAGGATGTCATGCTGGGTAAGATGGAGGGTCAGAGAAAAAGAGGAAGACCCCCAACAAGATGGATCAGCCAGATGGCATCGTTGATGGCATCAAGTGTGGCAGCAGTAGTGAGGTTGGCCCAGGATCGGACATTATTTCGTTCTGCTGTGCATGGGGTCGCTATGAGTCGGTTCTGACTCAATGGCACCTGACAACAACAACAACATATTTGAAAATATGTGAAGTGGTTTGAAAGGCAATATATTTGAAAACTGAAAATAATATGGCTTGGGTCAAGAGCACCTTAACCTTCAAAATGACATGTTTACTCGTCAACACTTTTAAAAAGTTCTTTTTTTTCCTTTAATGTTTTATTGTGAATTATGTGATAGTTTACATGGGAGAACATTAGTTTTACATTCATCCTATCATATATCATTTCATTGCCATGGTTACAATCCCCTACATGCATCATTAACCAACCAAAGGGTATATCCTGCAAACCTGCGCACCCCCCTACCCCCGGTCATCAGCACACAGTCGCTCTCCCTCTCTGGATCTAAAGTCCCCAGCCACTCCATCTCTCCACGTCATCATCTCTGCCTCCATCTCTGGCGTCACTGCTTCTCTGGGTAGGGTCCCACTCTCTGGTCTTCTCCCTTGATGGTCCCAGGGACCTCCACTCCTAGACTGAAAAGTTAATCACTCCCCTCCTTGCTATAAAATGTCTACCTTTACATTTCCAACCCTAAAAGAGGTCTCTTGTGGCATATTTTTTCCTATGTCATATGCTTGATTTCTAGACTGCTGCTTCCATGGACATTAGTTGTGGATCTAAGTAAAATGAAATCCTTGACAATTTCAATCTTCTCTCCATTTATCATGATGTTGCTTATTGGTCCAGTTGTAAGAATGTTTGTTTTCTTTACATTAAGTTGTAATTCATACAAAAGTCTTTGATTTTCATCTGTAAGTGCCTCAAATCCTCTTTGCTTCCAGAAAGCAAGGTTGTATCATCTGTGTATCACAGGTTAATGAGTTTCTCCAATTCCGAAGCTGTGTTCTTCTTCATATAATCCAGTTTCTAGGATTATTTTCTCAGCATGCAGATTGAATAGTGTGGTGAAAGAATACAACCCTTATGTACACCTTTCCTAATTTTAAACCATTCAGTTTCCCCTTGTTCTGTTCAAATGACTGCCTCTCTGTACAGGTGCAGGTTTTCCCATGGGCACAATTAAGGGTGCTGAATTTCCTATTCTCTGCAATGTTATCCATAATTTGTAATAGGAGTTAAGGGTAATTTATGTTACCCAGGAACCCTGGTTAAGTGGTTAAGTGTTTGATTGCTAACTGAAAGGTTGGTATCTCAAACACACCAGCTACTCTATGGGAGCGATATATGGCAGTCTACGCCTGTGAAGATGACAGCCTTGGACATGTTATGGCTCAGTTCTTCTTTGTCCTGTGGGTTATTATGATGCAATGACAATGGGTTCTTATGTTACTGTATTTTCTTTTTTTCCTATGAGTAAAATGTAATAAAAGACTTAGGGAGGAGAAAAACATTACTGTTGGCTGGTTAAGGAAATCTTGGAGAAGAGCCTGAGGCACCATTTGTTCTGGTCCTACAGCTGCGGGGTGTGGACGCTGAGGCCACCAAGGAAGAGCTCAGGCTACAAGTGGGGCAGCTCCACCACCAAGTGCTGACTCTGAAATGCCAGCTCCGGGATCAGGGGTCTCTACACCGTGAGCTGCAGGAGTCTCAGGAGGAGGCCGGCCACCTCCGTGAGCAGCTACACAACCAGGTAGGCTGAGTCCCTGCCCTCTGTGACCACAATCCCCTGTGGCAGGAAATTGAGAGTAGAGAAGGAGTCAGTCAGTCGGTATCTATTAGATTTTAAAATATAGAACAACATATGGAAGAAAGCCACAGCCGGCCCTCTGTCCAGCCAGGCTCTGTTGACACATAAAGCAATCAATAGGTTAGGGAACCCTGTCTGTGGCGTATCAGAAAGTCAGACAGTGTTAAAGCGTGCCATAAATAAAGTAGACGCCCTTCCCCTGTAGGAGGGAGGGGGTGCTGGGCAGATACCAGGGCAGCAGGAGGAGTCCTTGTGGGCTGCGCTATGGTTCCGTCTCACACCTACACAGCTGACAACATTACATAGAACTTAACACACACATGTACACACAAACAGGTACAAGGGAAACTGAATACATCTGATTGAGATCTGTGGGTTGTATCAGCAGTGATGCCTTGTTGTGATATTATACCACAGTTTTCCAAAATAGTACCATTAAGGGAAACTGGGAAAAGGTCCTAAATTTATAGCATTTCGTTTCTTTGCTTTACAAACAAGATTTTCTAGATTGAAGTTGTCAAAGACTTCATGTTGCTTGGATCCACAGCCAACACTCATGGAAGTAGCAGCCAAGAAATCAAAAGATATACGGCATTAGACAAATCTGCTGCATAAAGAATTATTAAAGAGCAAAGATGTCGCTTTGAGGAAAAAGGTGTGCCTGACCCAAATCATGGCATTTTCAAATGCCTCATATGCATGTGAAAGTTGGACAATGAATAAGGAACACCACAGAAGAAGTGATGCAATTGAGTTACAGTGTTAGAGAAGACTATTGAAATACTAGGGACTGCCAGAAGAGCAATCCTTCTTGGATGCTCTTTAGAAGCAAAGATGGTGAGGCTTCATCATTCATACTTTGGGCATGTTATCAGGAGGGACCAGTCCCTGGAGAAGGACATCACACTTGGCAAAGGGGATGGTCAGCAAAACAGAGAAAGACCCCCAGTGAGATGGATTGGCAGTAGCAATGGGTTCAAGCATGGCAGCAATTGTGAGGATGGGGCAGGGCCAGGCAGTGTTTTATTCTGTTGTGCATAAAGTCATTATGAGTTGGAACCAATGTAACAGCACCACCACCACCATCTATGTGTATGATTCTGAATATATGCAAAAGGTAAAACCATGACAAAGCAGTTACTGGGTTAAAGGCTATGTACATAATTCACTTTGATAGATGAGGGGAGATGATCCTTCCAAACGGTCACATTGTCTCTTCTACTAGTAGTGAGTATGCTTGCTGGCCCTGAATCTTATCAACCTTTAAAGTATGCTGACAAACCGATGGATGACAAACACACTTCCTCTGTTTAACTGAAAGTGCGTGGCATGTGGAGTTTTGTATTCTTTGTTCAAGCTGCTCCAAAGTCTCTGTGTCTGTCCAGTATTTTACAGCTGCATAGTAACCCACTGGGTTGTTGTTGTTAAGTGCCATGCCGTTGAGTTGTTTCTGACCCATAGCGTTTCTGACTTATAGGCTATAAGTCTTTATGGGAGCAGAAAGCTTTATCTTTCCCCCATGGAACTCCTGGTGGTTTTGAACTGCTGACCTTGTGGTTCACAGCCCAGCTCATGCTGAGCCATGGTTCTGCCCACTGATTTATGTGGTGCCATAAGCACTCGACCTCAAGGTCAATTTGAAGGTTCAAACCCGCCAGCTGCTACTTAAAAACCCTTTACAGGGTCGCTATGAGTCGGAACGGACTCGACAGCACTTAAAAACAATAACATTTATGTAAAACAGTTCTGAGAACTCAGATTCCTGGCTCAAAGAGTGACAATACTGTTGATTCTGAACACATTTTGAAACACTGTTTTCCAACCAAGTGGCCAAACTGTCACAACCATGTCCACTTTCAATGCCACTAGCAGCAAAATGGGGATGTTTCTGTTGTAGCCCCCTCACCCAGAAGAAGGGGTGTTATTACCTACTAATCATATCTATCACAGATCTGGAAAAGTATTAACTCCAATTATACAAATGTCAGACCTGCTCAGCGTATCCCTATACTTTTTTTTAAAATGCTTTATTGTGAATTATATGATAATTTACATGGGAGACCATTAGCTTCTTATTCATCTTATCATATATCGCTTCATTGCCATGGTTACAATCCCCTCCATGCATCATCAACCAACCAAAGGGTATACCCTTCAAGCCTGCCCCCTCCACCCACAGTTGTCAGCACACAGCCCCTCTCCCACCCTGGGTTCAAAGTCCCCAGCCACTCCATCTCTCCACGTCATTGTCTCTGCCTCCATTTCAGGCATCACTGCTTCTCTGGGTAGGGTCCTGCACTCTGCTTTTCTCCCTTGATGGTCCCAGGGACCTCTGCTCCTAGACTGCAAAGTTAATCACTCCCCTCCTTTTGCCACAGAACATCTACGTTTACATTTCCAACCCTTACAATCAGTTCTGATTACAATTATTCACTATTGTATTGCAAGAGACATATCTGCATCTTTTTTCATCAGCCCCGCCTAGACAGATTGGATACTACTCAGTGGAGATTCTACCT